AAAGATGTTGACCTATTGGAACAAGCCCAGAAGAGAACCTGAGATAATCAGAGGGCTGGAGCACCTCTCTTATGAAAGGCTGAGGAAGCTGGGAGCTATTCAGCCTGGAGAAGAGAGGGCATTGGGGAAGACCTTTGAGCACCTTCCAGTATTTAAGGGGGCTTACAAGAAGGCTGAAGAGGGACATTTTACAAGGGCATGGAGTGAGGACAAGAGGGAATGCCCTGAAGTTAAAGAAGGGCAGATTTAGATCACAAATTAGGAAGAAATTCTTTACTGTGAGGGTGGGGAGGCACTGTAATGGTTGCCCAGAGGGTATGGACTCCCCTGGAAATGTTAAAGACCAGACTGAACGGGGTTCTGAGTGACCTGAACTCCTCCATTGCAGGGGAGTTGGAACTGGATGATCTTCAAGGTTTCTTTCAACCCAAACCCTTCTATGATTCTAGGACATTAAACCCCCCCCTCCCCCCGCACAAATCTTCAAATGTTTACTGTATCCATTCTGTCCATGTAATGCAGCTGAAAGGAAAAATACRTCTATTTCTAATATTACATGGCAGTGCTTGTTGTTTGTAAGATTAGTGAAAGGCTTATTTTAAATGCAGCTTTGGGTTTATTTGTGCCTTAAGAGAAGTGCTCTTAGAAAACAAGGAGTGAGAAGAATGTGGAATAAGCTAAGGTTKCAACTCACTGTTGCTTTTTATTGTGCTCATGCAAGCAACAGAATGAACTTTATTCTGCATCCCTGCTGTCTAACAGAGCTGTTCACATACRAGTTTTCAAATAGCTCTTGGCTACAGTACAGATGTGATGATGATGATATTTGTCCTGATGGCTTTGCAAGCCTAATGCAAAGAAAGAGACAATAAAAGAGATGGAAACTGGTGCTCTATAGGGTTGGGAATTGGCATTATAAGTGTAATAACCTCAAAGCTACTCAGGGCACATATCTACAGTTAACTAAGTCATCTGTTTTTGTCTTACCCTGGATAGTACCCCAGAGCACCAAACAAAATTAGGAGAAGCAGCTCAGTGGTGTGCTCAGGGATTGTGATGTATGATGCTGCTGCTGTGCAGGACTGTGGGTATACCTGATACAGCACTGAGGGACAAATGGTTGCAATTAACTGGACCAGCAAAACARATTTCCAGTGAACTGTAGGACAATATTTTGCTATTTGGTCTTCACATAAAAAGCCAGTAAGTTGCCAGTTTTAACTAGAGAAATGCAAGGAGCGGAGGAATTTTTTTTCAAGGAGATGGTGATGCAAAAGAGCCTGAAATGTATGTAAGCAGTGAGACTTGGCTTACATCTTTAATTCTAGCCGGACAACCTCTGTCTTAAAAAGAAGCTTTTCCTGATAAAGAAAATGAAATTATAATTCTGCTGCTTTATAAGTTATATTTGATGTCCTTGCAGATGAATTGACTAGAAAGCATACACAGGCCCTAGACTGGTTATATTCTTAAGTTTAATTTAAATAGAGGACTGCTTATTTTCCTAACACGTCCCTGCTAGGTTGGTACTTTTGGACAAATGACTTGATGCAGTTCTAGTTGGGTTTTTGGAAGTATAAATTGTCATCCAGCATAATGTATTACTTAGAATATGTTGAAAATGGACTTAAAGAGTGGTTTTTAGTATTTGCAGCATTTACAGATGTAGTTTATAGAAAATCCTGTTTCAGTACTTGGTAGTGTCCTTTGTTTGGATCTCATAGAATCATAAAATGRTTTGGGTTGGAGAAGACCTTTAAAGATTGTCTGTYCTGATCCCCATGCCATAAGCAGRGAAATCTTTCACAAGACCRGTTTGCTCCAAGCTCCATCCACCCTGGCCGTGARCACTTCCASRGATGGGRTATCCACAGCTTCACTACCCTCACTGTGAAAAATTTGATTTGGTTGGGTTCTCGTCTTCTTGAGGCTGAATAGGAAATTCTTTCCACCATCTGTTCTTGGTTAAGATACAAGTGACAATCTTTGTGCAGCAGTTGTCTTACTGTGAATTCCAAAGGTTAATGATCATACAGACATTACAGTATATTGAAGTCTGACAAGAATTTTACATGGTACTAGTTCAAGTGAAAGCTTAGTGTAATTATTGCCCTGTTTCTTTATAGCTGTGTTGTAAATGCAAGTTTTGTTACAGTACTTGCCCATATTTCTATCCTTAAAATAGGCATAATGAAATCTAAAATGTAGAATTGAAAAGAGCTTTAGACATATGAATGATTTAGATTTTTATTAAAAGGTAGCCTAAGGAGCCATCTYTTTCTGATTGGAATATAATATGAAATTACTGGTAAAATCACTTCCATAATATAAAAATTATTTTTTAATTTGGAGAGTTATAATCCTCATAGAACTGTAGAAAAATAGTGTAATGGAGGGACTTACTTTGAATGTAAAAAGTTCAAAGCTTTGTGTGTTTAAAGTGTTGAATCCTGTTTTTGAATATATTTTAGAATTTGTTTTTGTAAAGGCTTGAAGTACTCTGAAGCCTGAAGATTAGAGATGAATTGTGGCTGGCTGGTCAGCTAAAATTTAACCAGCTAAAATCTGTCTAAGCTTCTGGAATAAAGACAGTCATGCAGAGCTCTTTTTCCCTCTAAATTTCTAAAGCTGCTCAGCAGTCAAAAAGAAGTGTGTCACMAAAGCTGCAGCTTCTAAACTACACYATTATGGCAACATGTAAATTGATGTAATAGTTTTTCTGTCCATTTGGATGTACCTTTGGAGCTTCCTTGAGTTGTGYACAATGWTGGTCAGACYTTTGATACAGATAATTTAGGACCTRTTAGKCAAAATGTGTTTTTAGTYGAAGCCTWTTTTTCTTTTCTTCCTCATATCATAGAATCATAGAAAGTGTGGTGGAAAAGAGCTGAGCTGTACAGATACAGTTTTTGCCATGCTGTGCCATTTGGCCACAAGACAAGGAGCCAAAAGCAGTCCTGGCTGGATTTTATTTACTAATGCAGATACAGACTGTGATACTCAAGGAGAGAACACTTTGAGTGACCCCTGCCAGACTTTGAGAGATAGATCAAGGTCCAATTTGTTCTTGCCCTACTCTTGCTGTTGTTTTTTATTTTCCTACTTATGCATGTTGCCTTTGCTTCAGTTGAACCTCTTTTTAAGGACTGAAGCAAAACCTGTGGTTTTCAGTGCTTTGGTTTGCTTGGCATAATTTTCTGTGAAACAGGTTGTTCATGAGAAATATTCCCTTTCCTTTTTGTGAATACGTAACACCCCATGGCAAATGGACCAAACCCTTACTTGAAGTTTTGATAATGTCCATAGAAAGAAAATCATATGGAGAGACTCATAATTTCTGGCAGTTGCTGCAAGCAGACCTCTGACAAATGCTTGTAGTTAAGGCAACAMAAATTAAAAATGTATCTAAATGTACAATTTAGAATCCAAATCTAGGTATCCAAAAAAACTGTTGGGAGTCGTAGATGATTCTTTGTCACTTGTTTACTCAGCCACAAGTAACAGTGTGAGGGTGTCTGCACTTCATATTTATTGGAAGATTTACTGTAGTTGGCTCGTCTTCTGCAATTTCTTAGGCAGTTAAAATATTCCTGTTTGCTGGGGGAAAAATATATTTTCATGTGTATATATATATATGTATCTCCTTAGTACCATTTAGCAAGCTAATTTTTAATGAAGAGTTTGCAACTTACATGAATGTGTTTAAATGTTTTCAACAGGTTGTATCAGTCTGTAAAAATTCTGTACTCCTTTGGGATTTTTGTGACCTACTCGATTCAGTTCTACGTCCCTGCAGAGATTCTTGTTCCAGTTGTCACCTCCAGAGTGAGGCAGAAGTGGAAGTTACTCAGTGAGCTTGTGGCGAGAGCACTGTTAGTCTGCTCAACCTGTAAGTATGTGCAGCACATCTATAAAAAAAACTTGTTGTTACATTTTGTTGGGACCTGTTTGTTTAAATATATGTTTTGTTGTTTATTTTTCCAGAGGCTAGGAAACCTGAAATTTTGTTTCAACAGTTCACTACGTTTTGACTTTTATGAACAAATGAAGCTAATGTTGTACTTGTATTTTAACCACACTTGTTTTAGTAGGTATGACCAATTATTGACATAAGCCATATGTTTTGCCAGTAATACCCTAAAGCTGCCAACTGGAAAATAAACCTTTTTCAAATAGAATTTTTTAAGTGAGACACACATTGCTGATTCTTTTCAGTGTTTATCTGTGTGATCTTCAGTACCTACTTGTCATGGAAAAATCCTTTTTCTGTTTTGTTGATATCTGAGCATTAAGCCTATACTTGTGGTGACCYGTATCCAGAAAATAGCACTGACAAACAATAATGCCTGGTCTCAGAGTTCATGAAGTGCCACTTACTTTAGGTGATAATGCTCCAAAGTAGTTTTGCATCTCTTATCTCACTGCCAGTTACTCCTGTTGTTTATATTGCTTGTCCCCTAATCTTCCCATCCCTCCTATTGTGTCACTGCTTTCTCACAGCTATTCAAGATCTAGATACTAGCAGGAGTGAGCTRTGTTTATTGCATGCTGCGTGTGGTCTCATCTAGGAATCAATACTCCTGCAGGTAATGAACTGTGGAGGAAGTTTAGCTCTGCCTTTATAGCTCTCAGCCAAAGTGCTCAGAAATGTAGGAACCTTTTCTCAAAGATATTACAAAAAATTTGTTTCTACTACAAACTGTGGACTTGACCATTTGTATTAAAATGAGCTGTTAATACCATAAAAACAATCCAAACTGCTAAGCAACCAAAAAATGCTAAACCTTGTTTTTTAGGAGAAAGTGTTGATGAAAGAGAAGAGTTTTGGTTTGTTGTCTCTATTCTCTTGATGAATGCTGTAGCTATGTGCTAGATGATACCTAAGGATTGTTGTCAAAGAAAACTTTAGCATCCAGTGAGACGTTCTTAAGGTCAAGCCTGTTGAGAAAAACAGTTTAATGTCAGTGCAATTTAATTACTGCAGTAAACAAAGGGAAATACCATCAATCTAATAACTTGCTGCTCTGAAAATACATCTGTTTTGTGAAATTAAAAAAAAAGAAAATTCAGTGCTTTCTGGAATGGTAAAGTGCATGTCTCCTGAAGCATCATATAGCCTGTGTTCTACTTTGAGTGATCAAGGTGTTAAGATTTTAAGATTGAGGATAGATGAGTAGCTCTTGTAATACCTGAGAGACATCTAGATCAAAATACTTCAAGGTTCAAAAAGCTTTTTAATGTCTCTCCAGACACTAAAAGGTCACCAGTTAGATCTCCAGTCCTAACCACACCTTGGTGTCATGGAGCCCTCAACTTCTGCTCACTCTCTGTTGCCCTTTATGTGCCCCTTATCACCTGCCTTGGTAAAAATATCACAGTAGCTTTGAAAATATGGAAATCTTGTCGATCCAAACTGTTGCTTGGAGCCAAAGGTTTCAAGAGTTTATAGATGAAAAACACTTTCTTTGTGTCTGATGAGAAGAGCTGATGGTGAATGGGCTTAAAGGCAAATTTCCCTTTTTGACGTAGGAAAATGATAAAAGACTTCATGATATTCAACCACAGGTTTTTTATTAATTTTATTAGTAACCTTTGTAGTTTGAAAAGGGAAAACCAGGAAGCAATCTCTAAGAAATGAAATWTCAAAAAGAAATTATATTAGCTATATATATGAAGACACATACACAAAAGACGTAGCTTTATATATAAAGATATAACATTAGAATGCTTTATCTTTATGCCTTTGGAAAAAAAAGTGTGTAGTAAAAGTGTACCTAGTTTATGCCATAGAAATTTACCTGTGATATGAGTCTCTAAAATGGAGCTGCTGAAGTGTTACAGGTGTTACTGGGATATTTGAGGATATTAAATTGTTTGCTGCAAGGCACGAAAAAATAACATTAAAAGTTTGTTCCTAAAGGTTTGATATTTGCCAGGCTGTTGTGTGATATGTTGTATTTATCCTAATGTCATTTCAGGTTTTTTCCAAGTGGTTTCTACAAATTGTATGCATGCAGTATCTATAATACTTTTTCACTAACAATTGTGCAAGCTCCCATGCTTATATTCTGTTTATCATATTTTGTTGAAGCAYTGGTTTTAAACAGAATTAATTTAAATAGCTTCACTGTTCACCTCACTTTGTCTAAGTGCAGAACATAGTTCCTAAAATGATTCAGAAAGTGTTTCTTTAATAGAAAGTAAAAATCCAAAACTTTTTAAATTGAATTTTAGAAATTAAATGGTTTTGATATCAGTGACGGAATATGTTGTAATGTCTGGACCATTTGGGGGTCATACACTGATTAAAGGCAATCTGCTTGCTTGAAAATAATTCTTTGAGAAGAGAAACTTCAGCTRTGTTGCTAGTAACACATTAGCTTTTTAAGAGAAGACACGAAAAATCGCTTATTACTCACTCTTGGGGTTTTTGCATTACTTAAACATTGTGTCATTGTTTTATTGTTGGAGTATATGAGAATTTTTTTT